TGGCCTCCCAAGAGCTAGGATTACAGGTGTGAGCCACCGTACCTGCCCAGGAACTGGCATTTCTAAAGGGCCACTATGAGTTAAATCTCAGGCTCCAAAAGTATAAATGGGAAGGGATCCCAGAGATTGCTAGACCATTTCTCTAACGGGGCAGAAAGAAGAGTAAGGGAGATCTCACAGTGGGGAATGGACTTGCCTCTACCAGTTGGTAGGAGAGGTTGGACTAGAACATGGGTCTCCTGATTTGGGCCCCAACTCTCTGGGGCCATGTTGCCTCTTTTCATCAAAGAGCAGTGAAGGTATGCTCAGTGCCAGCGGGGGTGTGGCAGTGAAGAACTCACAGTCCCTTGACTTTGAGGAACTCCCAGAGACTCATAAAGACAGGGGAACAGGGACTCAGATCTGAATCAGAGTGGGTGAAGAGTTGGCAGAGGTATCATAATCCAAAAAACTGTGGAGAACAAGGTGGTAAGAGAGAGACACCAGCCAGTTTCCAGAGGGGGTTGGCACAGAAGGTTGAAGGACAAATGGGACTCCCTTGCCAGGAGAGTTAGGGAAACATATTCCAGCAAGGGGGAAGAGCAAAGTCAAAGGAAAGGAGGCTGATCTCCCTTGCTCCCAGGTGGCAGTGGATTCCCTGGGGGCTGTAACCAGGATCCCCAGTATCCAGTGTAGACCCTCCTACTTCAGGGCCCACAGCTGCAACCCTTATGGGGCATAAACTACAAAGAAATTGGTAGAATGTTATGTATTTTAACCTAAAAGAGAGACCCTCTAATGGTGGAAATGCGAGCCTTGTGACAGAAGATGAGAAAAACTTTTTAGGGTAGCTGTGGTGTAAACACGTGTGTGTGTTTGTGTACCTGCGTGGAGCCCCTCTTCCTCAATCTTAATTCTGTTGCCTTTCAAAGTGTAGTTTAAGAACCATCAGCTCATGTCCAACTGTTGAGATTGCCCCTGCCTCCCTCTCCCACCTGGGCCACGGCATCACCCTCTCTGAGCCTCAGTTTCTCCAGAAGTAAAACAAGGCAAGTTATCTTGTTTGTTTAAGACCCCTTCCACCTGGGAGGGCTCTCCAGCCCAGTCCCTCCCTTTGCTGGGCTATCGGAGGCGCCCTCTGGTGGCTAACACTGGCCGCACACCCCTGGACGGGGCACAGCTCCTTGCCTGGCTTCCGAGGGTGTGTGTGCTCATGCATTGAGAGAGAAAACACAGAGAGGTGGGGGCCATTTAAAACAAAAGCAAAATCTGGCAAAAGCTTTCTAAAGCGCCTGTCTGGGGCACCCAGGGTTACGCAACACCCCCCATCTTGCAAGTATGCTTGAAGAGCATCACTCCTCTGGCCAAGATCTCATCCTCTCGCCCCTCTGCTGAACACAGTAAACATCAAACATCTGGCTATTGCAGTTAGGGTTCTCCAGAAGCCACCCCCTGCGTGGTAATCCCTGTGGCCTCACTTCTCACTCTTCTTTCCTACTCCGCCCCAGGTGAACAAGTCTCTCCTTTCCCACCTCCTAGCCTCTGTTTACGCTGGTTCTTTCCCCCAGAATATCCTACCCTCTCCTTTGGTCCTCTCAGCACCTTTTAAGATACGCTCTCATGCTTGACATGAGAGTCAAGAGGCTCAGAAATGCTACCTCTTCCAGGAAGACTTCCTGGATTTTTTCACTGAGGTTTACACTCTCTTTTCCCTGAACCTCCAGACAACTCTGTCTACATCTGTCTCCTGGGGGCCAGAGTGTGTAGAGTTCACCCAGGTAACTTGGGTCACAGTTGTCCTGTTTTGTACCTCCCTCCTTGAGAACCAACTTCATGTCTGCTTTATGTCTGGGTCTTTCCAAACACTGAGGCCTCCCAGTGGCATCTAGGCTGTCCTCTGCAGAGCCCTGTCTCCTCCAGAGGGGGCTGCTGTCGTGGAAGGAGGAAGACATGAGCTTTGGGCCAGCCTCCACTGGCCCTTGCCCTGCAGCAGGCAAATGGTTACCCAGCATACACGGCCATATGGGAAGCTGGTCTCTGGGTGCCCGTGATGAAGGGTCAGGCCTAGGTCACTGCCTGGTTCTTTCCTCTAAGGACAGAAGCAATAACTATGGTAACAACCACAGCCCCAACCCCTGGCAATTTGTAAACTTCTGCTACAGTCGGCTCGTGCTCTATAACTGGAAATTCTCACACAACCCATTTTTAGATGGGAAAGAGCTCAGAAAGTCTAAGTAGCTTGCTCGAGATCACACAGCTCTGAGTACAAATCCTCAAATGGTCCCTACGTTCCAGCTATCTGCACATCGTATGCAGTTTCTAGAATACTCTCCTGTCACTGTGCTTTGCCCATGGTATGTGCTTGATGAATTCCTGGATAATAAAATGCAGACATAAATGAATATATAACTATCTCTCTCTGGCTTCCAGACAACCCCAGGCACGCATACCCTCCCTGCATGTGGGAAGAGTGGCAGAACTGGAATTGTCTGAGAGGGGGATGGCTCCAGGGGCTGAAGGGGGAGGTGACACCTATACCCCAGGAGGGATGGATTCTGATTCTGGGTGTTAGGAGGTAATGTGTTCTGGGCATGACAAGCACCAGCACCCACTGGTGTCCTGTCCCACAACTTCAGGAGTCACCAGCAGGTCCCATAGCCAGGACTAGCCTGCAGGATCAGGACCTGGAATTAATCCAAATGATCTGAGAAGCAGGTGCCAAGTCAGGAGCAGATGTGCAGGAGATTTACCATGGAACACATCTGTGAGGGAAAATGAGGAGACAGCCAGGGGAGGCTTCCAGGGCCACGATGCCGGAGTGCAGGTCTGTCGCTGACTGGAAGGAGCCTGGGGAAGCACAGCTGCTGAAGCCCTGGGCCGATTATGCCCCTCTAAGTCAGCCACCAGAAGGGGTGTTTTCACAGCCACCAGAGGCCTTCTGCCTCGGAGGGCCTCCTCCTACCAGCTTGGCTTGGGAGACTGAAGCTGGCACCCACAGTTGGAGGGAAGGAGACTTGGGGCCTCCACAATCCTGAAGGAGAAGTTGATTGATCCAGCCTGGGTCCAGCTCGGGGACAGTCTCCTATGGCCAGAGGGTGGCACATTTGCCCAACTGCCCCCTCAGCCTGATGTCTGAAATGAAGGTATCCACAGAACTGGTGAGTCGAGGAAGATGTCCAGCGTCTTGAGGGCTGGGGACTGGCGGGAGGTGAGGAACTGTGAGATGTAGGAGGTACTCTCTTGCTGAACATGTCCTCTCATTGTGGCACAGTGGCTCCATGAGGCCTAGAGCTGGGCTCTAGCTTACTTCAGTGCTGTGGTGTGCACACTGCCTGGCACTGGGGAGTGTCAGCAGGTCTGCCCTGCTATTGCCCACCCTAAAAGGCTGACCTCACTGGTCAGGACAGATCTATACCCACCCAGTGGCACCACCCCAGGTCAGGAACTTCAGGATCTATCTTCTCTGTTAGTCTGGAAGCCACTGAAAGGCAGGAACCACTGAGGTCTTGGATTTGGATCTGGCTCTCCCTCTACTGGAGCAAGTCCCTTACCTCCTTGGCCTCAGTTTCTTCATCTGTCAAGAAGGGATCATCATGCCCAGCTGACAGGGAAGGGGCCGTGTTGTGAAGGTTTGGGGTTCAAGTTTTGAGTTAATTAGAATCCAGCTTTTCCAGTTACTTGCTGTGTGACTGCAGGCATGTTGCCCAACCTCCTGAAGCCTCGATTTTCCCCACTATAAAATGGGAATGGGCCTTTTTCTCTCACTGAAATGTGAGGGTTCAATAAGAGAATGTATGAACAGCTCTGAGCTTGGCATCTCGTACATCACTGTGCTACATGCAATGAGCCGCAGGGGTACACTCACTCACCTCCATCCTTCACATCTGCCCCAGCCCACCCCTCACACCTCCCTGGCTAGTGGGTCAGGCTCTCCCATAGAGACTCAACCATGCACAGAGCATGGGGATGTAGCTCAGACCTCCTGCCTAAGTAGCCTCCACTCATTTACTCTGCATTTGTGGAGCACTTTCTGAATGGCAAGTGCTGTGCTGGGTGCCTGGAAGGACAGGTTCCCAAATCCCTGCCCTGAGGGGCTGCTCTGCTTAGGATGTGTCCTGCTGTGTGAACCAGGTGTGCCCTACTCACTGCAGCCTTTGGGGGGGGGGGGCTGGCTCAGATGTCTGGACACCTGTATTTCAATCCAGTCTTTGCCACTCACTTCTGGTGTGGTCCCCTCAAACTAATGATCCCATAAACTGAGGAGTGAGGAGACTCAAGGGGGGAGAGGAGGGAGCCCCATGGAGAGATCTTGGGTCCAGGTTGTGACCAAGGAGGTGGGAAGAGCCTGGAGCTTGAGCCTCCTGGTGCTGCCACTGGGCTTCACCAGAAATGGAGCGGGAGAGGAAACACAAGTGGAAGTTGTCCAGCGGGCATGTCCAGGCTGCTAGGCCTGATGTGGCCTTGCACAGCTGCCAGGAGGTGCAGGCTGCATCTGGCAGCCCAGCCGGTGCCTAAGACTTTTCCCACATGCTCCAGTGGGGTGGACTCAGGAGTGAGCTTTTGATGTGCTGAAAAGTGTGCCAGAGACAGAGGGCGGGAAGACCCACAGAGGATTGAGGTGGAGCCCAGAGGGAGCCCATGACTGGTGGGGTGAAGGCACCAAGGCTAGCAAGGCAGATGACAGCAAGGTCCTGGTCCTCCTTGTGCTCCCCTCAAGACCCCCACCCCCGCCAAAGACTGAGGTGTGAGCTCAAGATTCATTGTCTTCGTTCAAGTGAAATGTGGGCTCAAGAGAGAAATACAATTCTGTTAGATAAGGACAGCTCTATTTCTCACACACCTCCGTGATTCTCACCTGCCACCTAAGGATAAAGGGAACATTATACAGGTTCACACGGCTGGGAAGAGGTGGCTTTCAAAGGGGAGCAAGCATACATTAATCTTTAGATATGCAATACTAGAAGCTAAAGCCAACAAAACTTCAGCAGATTGTTAGGGGAGACATCTGCGAATCTTCATCAGTACTCACTTTGGCAGCACAGATACTAAAATTGGAATGATACAGAGAAGATTAGCATGGCCCCTGTGCAAGGATGACATGCAAATTTGTGAAGTGTTGGCTCGATGCCTGTAGCACAGTGGTTATGGTGCCAGCCACATAGCCCGGGCCAGCTAAAACACCAATGGCAACTGCAACAAAAAAATAGTTGGGTGTTATGGCAGGCGTCTGTAGTCCCAGCTATGTGGGAAACTGAGGCAAGAGAATAGCCTAAGTCCAAGAGTTTGAGGTTGCTGTGAGCTGTGATGCCACAGCACTCTACCAAGGGCAACCTAGTGAGACTCTGTCTCAAAAAAAAAAAAAAAAAGAAAAAGAAAAAGAACAGAATCTTCATCGTACCATTAATTTTTTCAGGGACTACTTGGAGCATGTAAGGATTAAACAAAATACTCAAGGAAATGCTCAAACCAAATTAAAACTTAGAAGAGTGATCTCAAGATTGGGGATAAAAAGTGTAAAGGAAACAGAAGGAATGTGTATATGTAGTTAAATCTTTTTTTTTTTTTTTTTTTTTTTCAGTTTTTGGCTGGGGCCAGGTTTGAACCTGCTACATCCAGTATATGGGGCGGGGGCCCTACTCCTTGAGCCACAGGTGCCGCCCATGTAGTTAAAACTAAATGAATGGCAACAGTGTGATTAAGAACTTGTAGTTTAGTGAAAAGGCATGAAATGAAAAAAGGAATACCACAAGGGGAAACTGGTGAAGAGCCAGAAATGAAATAGCCATCGTCTGTACTGTCCAGTATGGGAGCCACTAGCTACATGTATTTAAATTTAACATTATGTAAAAGCAAAGTTCGTCCCTCTGTTGTAGGGGCCACTTTTCAAGTGTTCAATGGCCATACGTGGCTAGTGGCCACAGCAGTAAAGCAGGTATAGAACAATTCAAAGATTTTGCATAAAGTTCTTTTGGACAGTGTAGATCTAAATTATTTTAGCAAATCCAAGGATATTTTGGAGCATAGAAAGTAAAATCACTCTATAGGTCTTCTCAAAGGGGAACAGGTCAAACCGGCGGCAAAGTTAAAAAGCAGAGCAGAACTTCTAAGTAAGCAATGGTGACGGAAGGGGTGACAGGACTGGAAATGAAGATTAAAGAGGAATTTGGGGGAGCCAGCAAAGAAAAAAGGAGAAAGAGGAAGACAAATACAACAAATAGTAAATATGCCAGCAGATGGGGGAAAGAAAACTAAGTTCATTAGCAATCACGATGACTGTCATCTTGATGAACTCCTCCCTCAAAAGTCAAAGAGGCCGTTTCTAGTGAGAGGGTAGAGTAGATGTGAAGAGAGGTATTGCCTGGGACAGAACACCTACAAATGCTGGGTAAAATTTAAATAAATAAGAAAAACTTTAAAGACATTAGTGTAGGATGACAGAAAATAAAAGAAATATCAGTGTCTAGGAGCATCAAGAAATTGAATGCCAGCTCCATGCCCGTAGCAGAGTTATTACAGTGCCAGCCACACATACCGAGGCTGGAGGGTTCGAACCCAGCCCAGGCCAGCTAAAAAACAACAATGGCAACTGCAGCAACAACAACAAAAAAATAGCTGGGGGCGGTGCCTGGGACTCAGTGGATAGAGTGCTGGCCTCATATACTGAGGGTGGTGGGTTCAAACCCACCCCTAGCCAAACTGCAACAAAAAAAAAATAGCTGGGTGTTATGGTGGGCGCCTGTGGTCCTAGCTGCTTGGGAGGCTGAGGCAGGAGAATCGCCTAAGCCCAGGAGTTGGAGGTTGCTGTGAGCTGTGACACCACAGCACTCTACCCAGGGTAATAAATTGAGACTCTATCTCAAACAAACAAACAAACAAACAAAATAGCTGGGTGTTGTGGGGGGGCGCCTGTAGTCCCAGCTACTCGGGAGGCTGAGGCAAGAGAATTGCTTCAGCCCAAGAGTTTGAGGTTGCTGTGAGCTGTAACGGTGCGGCACTCTACCAGGGCAACATAGTGAGACTCTGTCTCAAAAAGAAAAAAAAAAAAAGAAATTGAATGCACAAGGATAAATACATCTTGGAATAAGGGTTTGCCCAAAGAGTATGCTTATTCCATATAACCCGAAGTCTGGGTTTTAACAAGCTACATGACTCTTTTTTTGTTTTTTTGGTTTTTTTTTAACAGCACCATAGTAATTTATTTCATTTTTACATCTCATTAAAGTTTTTGGAGATTTTTTTTATCTGCATTTTTCACAGTGCAGACACTTTTCCTTAAAAAAGCATTTCTTATAGTTTTTTTATGGTTAACCACTTTATACATAGATTATAAGTTAACTCTATCTAAACCCACAGTTTCATGGATTCTTTCTTTTTTAAATGTTTACCATTATTTTATTTTTTTCAAAGTTCAATATACAATTATTCATTGTATACACAACTCATTTTGTGGAAGATAATTCCTGAGGTCCAAGCAAAGTGAGATATGGGTTAAAAGACCCTTGCTTAACACTGGGATCCCAAAGGGTTACATTCTCAGCAAAGTAGGAAAAAACTGTCTACAGAGACTTGCCTGCCTCTGTCTTGAGCAGAAGAAAGAAGAACCCAGGACAAACCCCGTTTCAAGTGAGTGTGGCACCAGAATTCACGCTGCTTCCTCCTTCACTCCCAGGAAAAATGAACTCAAAATGTAGTTTTAAGTGTTCCCCGCGTGCTTGATAAGGCAATTGTGAATTCTCCCCAGAGGAACACACTTTAAATCTAGGCTTCTAAGTATTCTTACAGATAAACTTCCAAGGAACAGGAGGTCACACACACACACAAATCATTGAACAGAAGAGAAAATAAGCTCGATATACTGAGTCAGCAGCAACAACATCGCTGAATCAGACAGATCACGGCCAAAGATCCTTGAATTATTCGTTGTCTATATAATATAAAGTTATCATGTGTGGTTTGCTTAAAGAAATTAAAGATGGGATTGAATGCATGGCACAAGAATGAGAGACTGTCAAAAGTGATCCGTTGAATTTGAAAAAGACCAAACAGAATTTCTACAATTGATTAAGATAATTAAAGCCCATGGATGCAGGGTGCTTTCTGGGAAAGATGGAGCAGACGCACTCTACTTTATGCCTACTCACTGTGAGTCTGAACTGTGGACAGGTTTCCTGGACCAGCTAGCTGAGGACGTGAGAAGTAAATAGTAAGTAGCCAACAGATTGGAGAAGGAAAGAAGAATCTGAAAATGACTGGACTGGGATTGAGTTTCCTGTTTTGTTCCCTCCTGGGTTGCCTTACCCTGGGCTTAAAGACAGACCCAGACCTGGAAGAATGCAGCAGGAACAGGTAGAAAGAGCTCCAGGAGAACAGAAAGAGGTCTTTTTCTGGTTTGGGGAGCAAAAAGGGGGCTCCTCAGGATGAGAAGTGAGATGTTTTCCCACTCGAGCCTCCAGGCAATATGACAGTGGTGGCAGTGGCCATGGTGATGGCACCGTTAGCCAAGTCAGATGCCTAAAGTTCTTGTTTTGTATGTGAAGTAGGACTTTTTCAGTGTTTTAAATTATTATTTTAATCGTGTACACATTTATGGGGCACAGTGTGATGTTTCAAGGCATATATTTGGGATGTAATGGTCAAATCAGGATAATGAGCAGATCCATTGCCTCGAACATTTATCATTTAAAAACATTTGAAGAATAGATCCCACTAATATTGTCACACATAACTTCTTCCAGAAAATGTAGAGCAAGATGACACTTACCATTCATTGTATGAGGTCAACTTTAACCTGACGCCGAAACCAGACAAAGACAGTTTAAAAAAACCACAGTGGAACATCCCTCATGAATACACGTACCAAAATATTCAGCACAATATTAACAAACTGAATCTAGCACTACAATAAAGAAGCCTTAGCTCAGGAATTCAAGACACTGAAAATCAAGGAATGCAATCCACTACGTTAAGAGACTGAAGGAGAAAAATCACATAATCATGCCAGTCGATGCAGGAAAACCACGTAAATAAATTCAATATCCACGTAGACATCCATCAAACACTCTTGTAACCTCCGTTAAAAACTCTCTCGAACCAGGACTAAGAGAATTTCTTAACCTGATAAAGGACATAAACAAAATGCAACTACATCATACCTAACAGTGGACCACCAAGTGCTTTCTCCCAAAGATGTCCATTCCTCCCACTCCTATTTAAGCTTGTGCTGGAAGTCAGTGCATTAAGACAAGACAAAGAAGTAAAAGGCATGCAGTTTGGAAAGGGAAATATAGAACTGGCTCTGCGACTGTAGCACAGTGGTTACGGCGCCAGCCACATACACCGCGAGGCTGGTGGGTTCGAATCCAGCGTCCAAAAAGATAAATAAATCCAAATAGCCCTGAATACCTTCCAAAAAGCATATAGATCCATAAGGAGGACAAGTCAAATAATCTATGGCATAACACATTCCAGTATACATTAGAGTAGGGAAATCAATTTAAACATGCACAAGAGTAGGGAAATAAATACAGTAGAACCTGCATACCTGACTACCCCCTACATGGACTACTTCCTAATTTCCTTAAATTGACCTACTTTTCATAAACCAGACATGCACCGTGTATCAGTGCAGTGGTTTCCTTATGATGACCACCTCCATATGTTGACCAGTTTGTCACAGTCCCTTGAGTGGTCAGCTGACGGAGGTTCTTCTGTACTTGAAACCAGTAAGCCAGCTCCAGGGCTATACTAGCACAAAGTCAGATGGAGACTGCAAGGAAGAGAGATTGCAGCAGGGGGAGCTTAGAAAAACTCACTCCCAAAATGTTAGCATCTCCCCCTGATTGGGGAAGTCCTAACGGATCAGAGCAGTCTACTGGGGAACTGAAGAGAGGGGGATGAGGGTGTGTAGGACCAGAGGTAGTAATATAATGAGGAACCACCGAAGGGAGACAATTTGAAGGGAAGCGGGGAATCTGTTGGATCCTTGAAGGTGAAGGGAAATAAGGAAGCAAGTAGTGGAAGTTAAGGGTCTTACAGAAACAAAAGAAATTTTTTATCAAAACAACTTCGTCACCACTGCAGTGGCTCATACCTGTAGTCTTGACACTCTGGGAGGCTGAGGTGGAAGGA